GAAAGAGAAAGCGCATTACAGCTCTCTATATGAAGCATACAGACTGTATTAGAGCCACAGAAAGAGCACAATACATAATTTATTGGAATTTATTGTAATTTAATGGAAAACTATGTGAATGGCGCTCTGTTCCGCGGCAGGATTTTCTGTCGGCTGCATTTAAATGCGCGTTTGAAGTTTCCTGCTCTGTGCAGCGCGCAGTGTCACGTGTCAAAACAAACAACACGTGCTGTTAGTGATTTCCGCCTCTAGAGTCTGCTCTCATACTGTATGATGGCAGCAGACACTTCTCAGCCACTCCAGCAACGGACGCAACCCGGAAAACTATTGGCATGGATTTTTGCCGATAACCAATAGTTCCGCCAATCAACTATTGGTGCCGATTAATCGGCAAAACCGATGAATCGGTCGACCTCTACTTGTAAACAAGGTGAAGCATGCATCGTGGTACTCTTGTGAACGTGCATCAAAGACTGACACGGAAGAGAAGACATTTTTCAAAAGTCATTATTTTTCCTTTTAACTTGATCCACCTCTAAAACAACTTTTCATTTACGATCACCAAGCCCCCTTGTTTTTCAACCACTCCAACCACCTGTCGTAAAGAAACCACTGTTTGCATTCCAATTCATTCATTTGTTCCCGTTAAATGTCACGTTATGAAAACGAAATGGTTGCAAACCATTAGTTGCTGCTCCTAACAGTTATTTGATTTCTTCAACATAGAATTCCAAATTTCGAGAGGAGGTGCTTGACTTCAGTGCGAGAAACCTGCAACTTAGCAATGAGAATGCTGAACTGAGTTCCCGGCTGTCTACTGATCAGAGAGCAGTGCAGACACTGACTGACAGGCTTGCACAGGTGTGTCAGGAGAACGATGAGGCAGCTGCGGCCTACAAACAGCTGCAGGAAACCCTTCAACAGCAGAAGAGCGACACACTAAAGCTGCAGGAACAGTGGCAGAAAGAGAAGGAGCTTCTAGAGAGGGAGCTTAAAACTGCCAAGGAGACGGTATGGATTGGTTGTGTAGGATATTTTAACAAATTATTTCAAAGTTGGCAGGAATCGCTGAAATTGCATTTTTTTCTTCAGCTCCAGCGTTTGACGGCGGTTGAGTCTGCATTGAATAGTCAGACTCTGAAAAACCAAGCACTAGAGCAAGACAAGGAGCATTTGCTGAAGGAAACGTCAGACAGAGACCAGAAAGTGAGATGTTGAGGCTTTTTCGCAGAGTATATTTCCAACATGTTTATGCTGAAACATGCTTTGTGTTTGTTGCAGCTGATAAATCTTCAGGAATCTCTTGGCAAATCAGAAGCCCAGATAGAGCAGCTCAACTCCCAGATCTTGACTATGTGGCAAGAAAAGGATGTTCACGTCCAGGAGTCAGCCACACATCAGAAGATGCTGCAACAGTCTCAGGAAAAGGTCAACAAAGATCTTTATACTACTTGCAGTCATTCAGTACTAATAAAAAATAACTTGTAAGTATTGTTGTAAAACACAAGGTCCAGGAGCTTGAGGAGAGCATACGTCAGTTGCGTAAAGAGAAGGAGCAGTTACATCAGACCCAGAGGCTTCAGGAGGAGACGGCAGTCGGTGTCCTGCAGAAGGAGTGCAAGAGTTTGCGACTACAGAACGAGGAACTTCATAATAAGGTTAGTCGGGAACAATAAATTGCTTTTGCATGGATTTTCCTCGATATGCAATTATAAGCAATTATGCATAATTGCTCCCCGTTTTATTTCTAGTGAACTATTTGGAATGCATTTACATTTATGCATGAGGCTTTTATCCAAAATGACTTTAAGTGCATTCAATGTATAGATCAGTTGCATTCGCAGGGAATCGAACCCATGACATTGCGGTTGATATTGCCATACTTTTAGTTGCAGGAATGTTCTTCTGTATTCACTACAGGGAATTTCAATGTACTTGAAGTCTCATATACTCGCCAAGCATGCATTTATTTGATCATAAATACAGTAAATAAATCAAACATATTCACAAAATATTGTGAAATATTAATTTAAAATTAGTATTTGAATATATTTTAAAATGTTATTTATACCTGTGATGCCAAGCTGAATTTTCAGCATCATTACTCCAGTCTTCAGAAATCTTTCTGATATGCTGGATTATATTTCTAGGTGGCTCAGCTGCAGACTCAGGAGCTGGAACTTCAGAGACTGACACATGAGTGCCTCACTTTGAGGAACAAACAGGCAGAGCTGGAGACCGCTAAATATGAGGCAGACGAACAGGTTTGAAGATCATTTTCAAACTTCTTACTGATTGAGAATTCCTTATGAATGTTTTTGGTCTCACTTTTGTGTGTTTGATGTTTAGGCACTAAGGGCAGATAGTGCTCTATCAATGGTCCAGGCCCAGCATGCACGTGAGGTGCAGGAACTAAGGGAACAGGTGGGTTCTGGCACTCGGGAGCACTTGGCTCATCTGCAAACTCAACTGGTGGAGCAACAGCGCAGGACGCAGGATTTAGAGGATCTGCTTCGCTCTCAGGCCAAACAAGCTGGTGTTCAGATGGGACTTCAGCAGGTACATCAGCATCACATTCAAAATCTTAAGGCAGTCAAACAGGGAGTGAACATGCGAGTGCTTAATATACATTTTTGCATTGAATCATTTACGTTTTTTTTCACCCTTGATTTCATATTTCAAGTATATTTTTATTAATGAACTATTAAATCAAACAACAGGAGCAGTACGAGAAATTGATGGCAAGTATGCAGGAGCGTATGGATGAGGTTGAGGCCAAACTGAAAAACACCTGTGTCATGCTGCAGGAGAAGGTCAACCAGCTAAAAGAACAGGTAACCAGAAACTAACGGCATTAAAACCACATTTAGAAAATATGGATATTTTCGAAACTAAATATTATCTTACTAAATACTGCATAATATTTACTTTTTTATATATATATATATATATATATAGTTTTTAGTATGTGAAGCTTTAGTAGGCATGCACTATGTAAAATATTGCAATAAGTAAAAATTTCATACAACATAAACCCACATACTGTATATCATCTTCGAAATAAATATGGTTAAAGAATAGTTCACTCAAAAATGAAACTCTGGCCATCCAAGATGTAGATAAGATCAGATTTGGAGAAAAGTAGCATTACATCACTTGCTCATCAATAAATCCTCTGCAGTGAATGGGTGCCGTCAGAATAAGAGTCCAAACAGCTGATAAAAACATGACAATAATCCACAAGCGAACCACACGACTCCCGTCCATTAATTAACATGTAGTGAAGTGACAAGCTGTGTATTTGTAAGAAACAAATCCATCATTAAAGGGGTCATATGATGTTGCTAAAAAGAACATTATTTTGTGGATTTGGTGTAATGAAATGTTTATGCGGTTTAAGGTTCAAACATTATTTTCCACATACTGTACATTATTGTTTCTCCTCTATGCAAAGTAGTTTCGCTTTCACAACGAAACACACAGCGTCTTCACGACATGGCGGCGGCAGCAACAATACTACAGCGAGAATAAAAGTTACGCCTTCTTTCTTTGCGTGAACATTTGGGCGGCGTTATGCAAATCTTCCCACATCGTGACGTAGACATGTGGGGGCGTGTTGGAACGAGCAGTTTTAGGTAGGCGTGGCTGACTCTTAACTTTTATAAAGAATATCTCTTTGGATTTGAGACTTTAGTCTTTGCAACTTTACAGATCTTCTTTATGCACCAAGAGCTTGTAACACTCCAAAGAGAAAGGAAAAATTGAAATCGCATCATATGAGCCCTTTAAGGCACTTAAAACTGTCCAAAATTTTACCTCCAGTGAAAAAGTTGTAATGATAAATTTCTCCAAATCTGTTCTTATGAACACTCATCTACATTTTGAATAGCCTGGGGGTGAGTAAATTGTAAACACATCTTTATTTTTAGGTGAACTGTTTCTTTAATTTGAATGTTTAATTGAATATAAATGTGAACTTTTGGTAGCCCTGTAACTAGTGAAAGTACATACTAAGATCTTCAGATATAGTAAAGAGTTTAGTATGCTGAAGTTATTTTAAGATATTTTATATGGTGACAATCATCTCTCTAACTTTTTTCACCCCATAGCTAGCCAAAAATGCCAAGTCAGATCTACTGCTGAAGGACCTGTATGTGGAAAACTCCCAGCTCATGAAGGCTCTTCAGGTGACGGAGCAGAGGCAGAAGAGTGCAGAGAAGAAATCTTTTCTTTTGGAGGAGAAAGTGATCGCCCTTAATAAACTGCTACGTAAAATTGCCCCAGCATCCCTCACAGCTTAGACTTGTTGCACTCCATTATGAGCCTTTATTTGTTGTACTGGACTGTGACGTTCCACCCTTTAGTGCACTTTTGTCTTTTGGTGCAAAACGTGTTTTTGTAAAAGCAATCCTAGTGTTAAAATGAAAGCACAGATAATGCAAAGTCTTAAAGAGTTACTGTAACAGCATATTGTATTAAAAATCGTGCTGTTTTCAAGAGTATAAAGAGAAAGAAGGGTTCAGTTAATTCAATGGTCTCTTCAGAGGCAAACAAATGCCAATGAACAAGACTTTTGTAGTATGAGATTTGATCATTTATTAAGGACAGAGCATTACACATTCCTTCAGTTGTTCACTGTGATGTAGGCTACAAACAGCAAGCATTCTTGTAAATGTGTTGACTTCAATATTTGCTTGTAAAAAAAAGACTTTTTACTGCAGTTTTAATGCCCATTGTGGTGCAATAACCAAAAGCACAGTATTCACACAATGTACAGTTTTGATACAAATACTATCTTGTAATTGCACAATTGTCAATCATGATGCACTAATGTCCACTTTGATATAAATTATTGTGTTGCAGATGTCTCTTATGATGTACACCTCGTTTAAAAGAGCTGGCTAACTGTTGGGAGATGAAAGTGTTGTAAATGCATCATGTACCACTGTAAAGAATGTGACCAAGTAAAGTTTTACCTGTGTACATGTGTAGCTTTCTGATTAGATAATTCGCTCTAATTTAAAGTTGTAATATCTAAATGAACATGAAGGAAAGTATCCACAATACAGCTGCTTCTTGTTAGGAGATGACATGCTCTAATACACCCTGCCGAATAAGCTGCTCACATTTCCATCTGGGTAAAAAGTGCTGTGAAGTCAGAGGGTGAAACGTGTTATGCTATATACAGTGTATATTAGGGCTGCACGATAAATCGCATGTGATATTTAATGCGCATCTTGTCAGAAAGCCGGTTCTGTAATCAGCGGTAAATCTTCATCACCTGCGAGCTTTCACATTGAGCAGCATTAACTACACAGAGCCGTTGTTCACTGACGAGCTGTGCAAAAAATCGTGCGAATATGAACGTGGTTTTGCGCAGCTCGTCAGTGAGTAACGGCTCTGTGTAGTTAATGCTGCTCAACGTGAAAGCACGCACGTGATGGAGATTTACCGCTGATTACAGAACCGGCTTTACTGATAAGATCCGCTTTAAATATCGCATGCAATTTATCGTGCAGCCCTAGTTAAAGAACAGATGACTGATCCCAGCAAGCCAAATCGCGATTTTGGTTTTGTGATTTCGATTAATCGTTCAGCCCTAGTGTGTGTGTATATATATATATATATATATATATATATAAAGATTTAAACATGCTCTTAAGAATATAGTTACCTGGCTATTTTTCTTCAACAGAATGACAGTGCCATCATCTATTTCAAATTCTCCATGGTCTTTAAGACAGCGCACCTGAATGGGAATGAAATGATCAGTGCTGATAGGCCTATATATACACACACATTTGTTTTTACATATTTGAAGCATTCTATTACCGAAATTCTTTTACAAGGTATTACAACAAATATTACTATGATGTACTCGACAACTAAACTACAGTATCTCACAGAAATATTTGTTGTAATACCTTGTAAATTTGTTTTTACATATTTGAAGCATTCTATTACCGAAATTCTTTTACAAGGTATTACAACAAATATTACTATGATGTACTCGACAACTAAACTACAGTATCTCACAGAAGTGAGTACACCCCTCATATTTTTGTAAATATTTTATTATATCTTTTCATGTGACAACACTGAAGTCACATGACACCAGGGAGAGAAAATGGCTAATTGGGCCCAATTTGGACATTTTCACTTAGGGGTGTACTCACTTTTGTGGCCAGCGGTTTAGACATTAATGGCTGTGGGTTGAGTTATTTTGAGGGGACAGCAAATTTACACTGTTATACAAGCTGTACACTCACTACTTTACATTGTAGCAAGTGTCATTTCTTCAGTGTTGTCACATGAAAAGATATAATAAAATATTTACAAAAATGTGAGGGGTGTACTCACTTCTGTGAGATACTGTATATAAAAACTTTTTACTGTAATGTGGGATGATTTTTTTTACACGCATCACAGTAAAGAGAGATTTTTCATTTTATAGCAATGAAAATGTAGTGTAATGTCAAAATGCAAGAATTCTTCCAAGTTCTAAAAATTGGCTTTATTTTCTACATTTTTAAAAAGAATTTTGTGGTGAAATATGAGCCAGAGTTTTTGTGACATTCAGCCAAATGTATTTTATGAAACTCAACTAAAACTAATTTTAAAAAGACATTTAAAGTAATATTAATACAATAAAACACAAAAAATGACAAAAACAAAATTACAAAACATTTTAAATTAAAGTGGAAAATATAAAAACAAAAAGTACTTTTAAAAAAATTATTCCAAACTATATTGTTATCCCATTTCTACTAAAATAACGCTGCACTCACCTGGATGTATAAACTCTTAGGGGGCTTCATATCCTGTGTTATGTCCAAACCTTCCTCTCCCCCTATTGACCTCATATAGGTTGCCAAAGACTTTTTGTACTGATTGAACCACTCCATCTGATTTATAAGCAATTAAGTTACACATATCAGTCACAGACCAGAAAGATACATGTGACATACTGTATATTAACATTACACAGGAGAAAATCAGGCCCACCTCTTCAGCACACATATGAAAGCGAATGGTTGTGGGCAGTACACTGCCATACTCCCATCTGAGAGCACGGATTCGCAGGAGGCGATCATAACTGTGGAAAGAAAGAGAGATGGGTTTGATCACACCTGTCGAGAGTGCAAATGAAGAGTGAACGTGATGATGGATAACAGGAGAACCCAGTGAATCACACACAGGTAGGCGGCGATACAGCGCTGGTTTCTCAGCAGGCAGCTGTGCCGGAACTTGATGGATGGTATCAGCTCACTCTTTCCCTCTGTCTTTGCCTCATTCCTACAAATACAAAAAATAACAGTTTTAGAACGACTGTAATGGCTTTATAAACTAAATCACAGCATGCTATTATAAGGTTTATTAATTTGTTTATTAATTTTATATACATTTTCGTAACTTTTTTAATATATTTTTACTCAGCTTTCATTTATTTTTATTTCCATCATTTTCTTTTCTTTTACATTTTAATTAACGTAAGTGCTGTCAAAGGATTAATCACATCCAAAAAAGTTTTTTTTTTACATAATATATGTATGCGTGCTGTGTATATTTATTATGTATATATAAATACACACACATGCATATATATACATTTCCGAAAAATATGTTGTTTATATATTAAATATACTTATTTACAATATAAATTAATGTAAATATAAATACATGTAAATATTTTCAAAATATATACTGTATGTATGTGTATTTATATATAACTTGCATAATAAATATACACAGAACACATATTATGCAAACAAAAGCTTATTTTGTATGCGATTAATCGCGATTAATCGTTTGACAGCACTAATTTGAATTTTATTTAGTTGCATTTTATTTCAGTTAGCAAAGACAACATTTTTTAATTTTCACTTAAGTCTAACGTTATATCTCATTTATTTTATTCAAGCTTTATTTCAGTTCAAGAAAACTATTTCTTATGGTTTTACTTTTAGTTATCAATAACACAGATTCTGCCATGCTAAACTAACCAGAAAGCATTAACGTTAACGTTAGTAGTAAGAGCTGAGCACACACTTACACATCACTCTGATTCTGCTCGTAAAGAGCCTTCATTTCCTCCAGGACTTGGCGAATACCGTCTTCCTGCGGAAAAACAAAGACAAGGTATAACTTGTAACAATTATTAGTAACTGCCGAAACTATAGCAACTATTAAACACCGCACTGTACTACAACTGTACGAAGCGCTTCTTCTTCTTCTTCTTTTGGTTTTATGGCGGGTTGCGAACCAACTTCATAGGTGCATACCGCCACCTACTGTGATGGAGTGTGAAGAGAATGTACTCACCTAAATCTTAAATTCTGTTCATTATTCCACAATTCTTAAGAAATCTCATGACTGCACTTATTTGTTTTCCTGCATTTGGACCATCATTCAGGATACTACTTAATGAAAATTCTTTAACTCCTAAGGATTGTAATTCATCTTTAAGTCGATCCCTTTCTCTTTCATATGCTGTACATACCATCATAACGTGTTCCACTGATTCCTCTGTTAAACAAACATTACATAGACCAGTATTATGTTTCCCTATCATGTATAGTGTTTGGTACGAAGCGCTGTAACGTTACTTACATTAAAGGCGGGCAGCTGACCGTCGCCCATCCGATGTAGTTCTCTAATAAGCTCGACTGCCTTTTCGCAGAACATTGTAAATTTGTTTGTAACTGAAAGATGTCGATATTTTTTTGGGATAAAGTCTTAGCTAGCTAAATTTCCAATGTACTCGCGGAGACAGTTTTCGCGGTAAATGTTTGTTGTTGTGATCACGTGAGCGTTACTACGGGGAGTCAAAAAGGACATTTTGACGGGGAAAGTCCGACTCATTTCTGGGAATCGGTTCTTATGAACAGTTCATTTTTCAAAGAACCGGTTCAGTTATTATTTTTCTTTTCAACGCGTAGCATCTCATATAAAACGATTCACATAATTACTTGACCAGTGTCGTTAATGAGAACACGACAGCTAAATATGCATCATTGTGTTTATAAATATGCACAGCAGAAAGATGTTTTAAGGAACCGGACCCTGAAAGCAAGAAAGCACAGCCATTCTCTGATAACTGATAAAGGAAGCTTAGAGTTGCTATCAGTTGTGCTTCAGTTAGAGATAACATTACGGTCTCCACAATAATTCATGTCAGCTCAAAAGTCATCTCTCAAGGATGCATCTTATGTCAGATGTATTTTAAATGTGAAAACATGCACAATGAACAATCAGACAGGCCTACATGTATGTAAGAATTGTTTAGTATAACCTGCATTCAGGTAATAGTTTTAATGTTGTTATTATTATTATTAAACACATATTTGATCATAAAGTTTATTTGAACTTATGTTCTCATATGAACAACCAGTCAGCAATGATACTAAGTGAAGTTTTACAAACCTTAAAGGTTAAAAAAGGCAACATATTGTAGTAGTACCCAAGAGTGTCAGCATCAATCATGTAGTCATCTTCCAAGTGCTCAGATCGTTTATGGATGAATGAATGAATGAATGAAAACTCAGTATTTGAGCAATTGCACTGTAAAATCATGGCAGTCATCATCATTGGTCTCCAGTGTGCCATCCAGCACTACACACTCCAGTCCACTAGGTGGCAAAGTTTACCCTGCTGGATGTTCATTACATGTTTCATGAAATCTTATTTTGTGTTCTACAGAAGAAAATAAGTCATAGAGGTTTGAAATGACATGAGGGTGAGTAGAGGATGACTGAATATTTCTTTTCAAATAAACCTGACTCACACATAAAACAAAATGAACTGTGGTTGGCCTCTTTCTGTGTAAGCTGGCAGTCATTGACTGAATAAGCCACAAAGTGTTCCCAACCTATTGGCGCAAGTCAAACGTCTGGCTATGGCAGACTACTTTTAGCAATGACAACAAAAACACAGACAAAGCAATGTTGGCGTTTGGGGAAAGTCTTTGAATGTCACTGAATGCCCTAGACTCTATTGAAAAGCTGCTTTCCATTCAGCCTGACAGAGCCTGAATGGATCTTCTAGACTACATGATAAAAATTAAAACCAATCACAATGGGTTTATTATGCACCCGTCTCTAATATGTCTACTTTATCTCTCATGTATGAAAGCCTATTTTGGCCACATAAAAAAAATGCAGTTGTAAATAATAATTATGACATTAAAAGTCAACACTGTGAGATACTAAGTAATAATTATGAATTAAAAAGTTGAAATTGTGACATACTAAGTCATATTTAGTCGTATTTTCATATTTTGGGGGCAGTCATTGCCTAATGGTAGAGTGTCGGGCTTGTAACCCAAAGGTCATGGGTTCGAGTCTCAGGTCCGGCAAGGATTGTAGGTGGGGGGAGTGAATGTCCAGCGCTCTCTCCACCCTCAATACCACGACTGAGATGAGACCCTTGAGCAAGGCACCGAACCCCCAACTGCTCCCCAGGCGCCGCAGCATTGGCTGCCCACTGCTCCGGGTGTGTGTTCACAGTGTGTGTGTGTTTCACTACTCACTGCTGTGTGTGTGCACTTGGATGGGTGAAATGCAGAGCACAAATTCCGAGTATGGATCACTATACTTGGCCACAAGTCACAAGAGACACAAAGTCAAAATTATGACAAAAATCAATTATGAGAAAAAGCTGAAAATATGACACAAAAATGACTAGCACCACTGTCATAATTATAATGTAATGTATAACGCACAAAGAAGATGAATGACGTAAACAGTCTTTAATAAATCCACATTATTAAATGTGTCCGAGGCAGAGGTGGGGATCCGGAAGGCCACGGTGGAGCCGGAGGGACGAGGCACAGCCGTAGAAGTGGAGGCAGTGGATGGTCGACAACTGACCAAGGTGGAGCTGGAGGGACAAGGGAGCCCAGTGGAGCTGGTGGGCTGATGGGAGGGAGCTAGGAGCCATGGTGGAACCGCTGGGTCGACGGGCCGAGGCGGAGTCTGGGACTCAGAGGCCAGAGACGAAGACAAGGGATCCTCCAGCCATGACACCGATGGAGACTGGCAGACCCGCGGTGATCCCACCACACAGATGGTGGGCTGAGGGTGAGCTAAGTTAAGGAAGTTAAGGAAGTAGGGATGACAGGAGAGGGAGGGTGGATGGGAATTTGTGAGCGCCAGGGTTTTCAGGGATGTTTTTTATGGGCTTTTTATGCCTTTTATTGAGATAGGACAGTAGAGCGATGCCAGGAAAGCACTGGGAGGAGAGAGGGGAGCAGGATCGGCAAAGGACCTCGAGACTGGAATCGAACTCAGGTCGCCCTGAACGCAGCTGCGCTGTATGTCGACGCACTAACCACGAGGCTATTGGCGCCGACTTCAGGGATGGTATGTGCTGCCCACACCCTACACCAGATTGGGACTCCCAATAGCGGGAGCGCAGCGGACAGGAGAACGACCTGTTATGGGACAGGACAGACAGACAGTTCGGGGCAGCTTGACAGCTCAGATGATGGTGGGAGAAGAGTGGGCATGTCCGCATATAAATCCTCAGAGTCCAGCGGGATCTCACCCTCAGTGGTGGTGCAGTGGGCGGGGCTTTCCTCCAAGCCCTCGCACTCGCTTGCTTCATCCACTGGCGCGTGCTCAGTAGCTGGCTCTCGCACCTGGTCAGACGATTCATGAGGCTCTGGCTCCAGGGCAATCCTCGGCGATGGCTCGTTGATCGCGGCAGGCTTTGGCTCTCCGTCTGTGGTGGGCTCAGGCTGTTGCTCCACGGAGTCTGTGTCAAGTGGTGTTCCTGATCGGGGGAGGACAACCTCCACACACTGGAAAATCGACTCCCTCCAGTTCAGTAATGTGGTGTCTGGGAGGTCCATAGGGCAGTGAAAGTTTGCCCCGATCCGGAAAAGGGATTTCAGGGTCTCGTCATCGAAGGGGCTCATAACTGCCAGATGAGCAAACCCCAGAGTAAATGAGTAAAAGTCGTGGCTCTCCCAAGCCACAGCAGAGAATTTAGTTGCCCATTCCATATTCCTTTTTGTAGGTCCAGGGTTCTGTCACACTACAGTGTATAAGAAACGCACGAAGAAAATTAATGATGTAAACAGTCGTTAATGAATCCACATAGAGATAATCCACAGAAGGAAGGCAGGAATCACACATAGCAATCGGCGTTTACACTGCGCAAGGACAAACTGAAACAACTACAACTTAAGTAGACAGACCAATGAGGGACTAACGGCTAAATTAACTAGACATAGGTGAACTGACTAAGATAATCAAGGGGAGACAGAAACTAGGTTAAGGAACTCATGAGGGATGAAAACACAACAAAACAGTCCAAGGGTGTGACATATAAGGCAGGAAGTTGAAATGGTGACAAAAACTATTACCACATAAAAAGTCATTATTATGACAAAAAGTCAACATTATGAGATACTAAGTCATAATTGAAATAAAAGGTCAAAATGATTAAAAACCATAATTATGAGATAAACTCAACATTACAGCATAAAACCAGTTCTGACATAAAAGATGAAATGATGACAAATAGTCGGCTGTGATAAAGGACAAAAATGATCATAATTTTGAGATAAAATGTCAAAATTATAGAATAAAACCAATTCAGTCATAGAAGATGAAATTATTACAAAAATACAAAATTGTGAGATAAATTATGAGATACTAAGTCATAATTGTGATTAAAAATTGAAATTATGACATAAAAGTCATAATTATGGCAAAGTTAACATAATGATACTAAGTCATATTTATGAGACAAAAAAATTTAATTGTGACATACTAAGTCATTATGAGATGAAGTCGAAAGTGACATAAGTCACAATTATGAGATAAAATCAATTATGACAAAAAGCTGAAATTATGACAGTCAAATTATAAGTACAATAAGTACCACTGTCATAATTATGTGGCAAAAAGTTGAAATGATGACATAAAAACAACTACCACTTTATAAAGTCATCAGTATGAGATAAAAAGTCAAAATTACGCCATAAAACCAGTTGTGACAAAAAAAGACAAAATTATGACAAAAAAGACAACATTATGAGATACTAAGTGCTAATTGCGATAAAAAGACAAAAATATGATGATAATTATGAGATAAAATGTCAAAATTATAGCATAAAACCAGTTATGACATAATGGATTAAATTATGACAAAAGGTCAAAACTGTGAGATACATTATGACATACTAATAAAGATTAAAATTTTAAATTAAGACATACTAAGTCATTATGAGATGAAGTTGAAAGTGATATAAAAAGTCAAAATTATGAGATAAAATGTTGAAATGTGACTGTATGTCATAATTATGAATTGTATTGTTTTCGAAAGCATGATTTTTTTTTCTTATGTGACTGTACACCATCTGTTCAAAGGGGAAGGTGGTAATTTACCATGCTTTACAGTGTGGGAACAGCAGAGTTTATAGGTGTGATCTAGATAAAGCAATCACACCCAAAGGCATTTATGAGGAGTGCAAAATGGGAGATAGCATTCCCTGTGGACGTGGAGTCAATGAAGTCATGCTCTGTGTCTCCTCCACAGTTTGATTGGGACGCCTCCCAAACCCGGGATAACAGTATAATTAACAGGGACAGCTGCAGATACGGTCCCTCTGTCAGCGACCACAGCAGAAACCGTCCACTGGGCCTGGGCCTAAATCAACTTCTAAAACCATAGAAACCATTCACAGCCATATCAGTGTCTTGTGCTACAACAGGTGGTCCCTGAAGTCCCCAATTCAACCTCCCCCCTTTGTCTCAAGTTTTCACATTAGACCTGCGGACACTCGTGTTTATTAGCG